AGAGAGAGAGAGAGAGACAAGATCGCGGTGAGGTGCAAACGGGGCTGCCCACTGAAACCATAGCCTGGAAGGGAAGTCGATATGCCATGCCTGCTGGCCACGGACGCATTGTGTTTGTGTTTCGCTCCACCCCCTTTCAATTCCCACGATGCCGCCGGTCTCCCCTCCACGTCGTCTCCTTTGGCCTCCTCCTCTTCCTCGTCTACTTGTTTTCTTTTTTCCCCACTCACTCCTTCCATGGAATTTGTGCCGTGCCGCAGCCCTGGTTGGGAGGCAAGCAGAGCGCGTGTCGGAAAACGGAGAGTGGGGGGGTGGGTGGAAAGGGGCACGAGCGAACGCACACACACACACACACACATATATATATATATATATATACAGGCTAAGGGAAACAAGGCAGAAACGTAAGGCCACGCGGGGGAGCTTCGAAACAACGGAAAAAAAAAACAACAAGAGGTTCTGGTGCTCGTATGGCACACTTCTTCAAGAAGCACGCCCCCGCCGCCTCCACTCCGGATACGGAGGAGGTAGAGATGCTGCGGCAAAAGGTTGGCACTCTGGAGGAGGTTGTTAGGCGGGCAGAGGAGGAATTGCGGGAGGAACGAGGAAGGTTGTCCACGCTGCAGCTCAAGACGGCCCAGTGGAAGGAAAAGGTCAAGGAGCTCAACCGTAGGGATCAGGTACGTATCGCAGAACTGGAAGGGGAGTTGAAGGTCATCAAGACCCTGCACGAAGCTGCGCCGGTTCCCATCACCGCGGAGATGCATTCGTTGCTGGACAATGCGCTTGCAACGCTGCGCGACAAGCACGAAAGGGAACTGGGAGTCAAGCAGCAGGAGCTGAACAAGGCCCTTGCCACTGTTTCGGCCCGCGATTCGGAACTTGCGCAACAAAATAGTGAGCTGAAGGCACTCCAAGAGCAGTACATTGAGAGCCAGCAACGCTTTACACAGGAACTGGAGTCGCTTAGCAAACACCATGAGGTGGAAGTACAGCAACTTCGTGTGCAACTGAGGGAGTTGGACAAGGCCGAGGAGCTCAGCAGCCGCATCGGGAAGCAACAGGAGGAAATCCAGGCGTTGGAACGACACTCCACTCAACAGGCCGGTCTCACTGGAGAGTTACAGAGGGAAATCGTGGAACTCGAGGCAAAAAATAACAAGTTGCAGAGCGAACTCGAGGAGGCTTCTACAAAGTTGTCCGCCGTGCTTGAGAAGCAGCGAGTGTGGAAAGAAGGCGTTAAGAACATAAAGCTGCAGGATGTAAGGACCATTCAAGAACTGCGAGAGGAGCTTGAAAAACAAAAGCGAGCGGTATCCACAGACACCGCTCTACATCCCTCGCAGGAGGAGAAACTGCAACAGTGGAAGGAAAAGGTGAAGCATGAAAAGCTCAAGGATATGCAAAAAATTAACAGCCTTACACAATACCTTCGCAACTCCCAACAACAGGCGGCTGAGGCAAAAAAACTCATCCACGCTGTAGCCACCCTTCTCGCAGAAACTCCACCAAAAGTCTCACACTGCATTGAAATTGCAAACAAATTCCAGGCATCCCTCAACGCAAATTTCGCGGAAACCGAAAACGAGACATCCGTTAATCGTGATGAGGCCTCTGCACCAACAAACAGAAACGAGCAGAAAGAAAATCACGATTTGGTAGAAGCGCCAGCACACCTGCGGGCCCAGCTGGAGGAGGCGGAGCGGCAGCGCGCGGAGGTGCAGCGGGAGCTGGAGCGAACGGGCGAGGAGCTGCACGTTCTCCGCGAGCAGAGTGGGTCGGACGCTGCGGAACTGCGGGCCCAGCTGGAGGAGGCGGTGCGGCAGCGCGCGGAGGTGCAGCGGGAGCTGGAGCGAACGGGCGAGGAGCTGCACGTCT